TCATGAAGCTTATGATTCTCTTCAATTGGAGTTTCAGTTGGTTTGCAATCTAATATTCCTGTATCAGCTAACAGATCTAGTACATGTTTCCTTTGGGTAAGAAATATACCTTGATGTGACGGAATCACCTCTATGCCAAGAAAATACTTCAAATCTCCAAGCGCTTTCATCTCAAATTCTCTTGATAAATATTTCTTCAATTCTTTAATCTCAGAAGTATCGCTTCCAGTAAGTATCATATCATCCACATAAATAATTAAAGCAGTCACCTTGTCCTTTTTGTGCTTTAGAAACAATGTGAGATCTGAATTGCTTTGTTTTACCCAAAATTCCTTATTACTAGTGCAAATCTTCCAAACCAAGCTCGAGGAGATTGTTTTAAACCATATAATGCTCTTTTAAACTTGCGCACCATTCCTGTATTCTCCAAAAGTCCTGGTGGAAGATCCATGTACACCTTTTCTTCAAGTTCTCCATGAAGAAAAGCATTTTTCACATCATATTGCAACAATGACCAGTTTAGATTGGTAGCCACAGAAAGTAGTACACGTACAGTATTAATCTTTGCCACAGGAGCAAAATGTCTCATTGTAATCCACTCCATACTTTTGTATGTATCCTTTTGCAACCAATCTAGCCTTGTACCTTTCTACCGAGCCATCGGCTTTGTGTTTTATGGTGAAAATCCATCGACATCCAATAGTCTTCTTTCCTGGAGGCAAGGGTACCACATCCCAAGTGTTATACAAATGAATGCTCTCATTTCTTCAGCCATAGCTTCGGTCCATTTGGTATTTGCCAATGCATCCTGCAACTGTCTTGGAATGGATATAATAGATATTTAACACGTATGATTCATATGACTTGGAAACTCTATGGGTTGACACGTGATTGCTAATGGGGTACTTTCATTTACTATTTAAATCTGCATCATACTGGGTTTTTGGTTTACCATGATTTATGCGAGCTAGTAATTGATACTTTGGTGGTTCAGATTCGAGTTCAATGTCAGGTTTAGGTGTAGTGTTAAAAAATTACTGGTTTCACCAAAAGTTTCATCAGGTTCAGAAAGTACCTCATTTGTAGCCTCTGGAGTAGATTGAATGTGCTTTGGATAGAGAGGGGAACCATCAGTGGTACTATCAACAATATTTGGACATGTTGTCGAGCTATTTCCTTCTTTCAAACAGTTTTTGGTATCTAGAGTATCATGTCTCTGATCACTAGTTAGAAATGTAGTATCAATAAGCATATTATCATGGCTATTCTCTTCAAAAATACCATCCATCTCTCCCTGAAGAGGAGAGCCATCAGTGGAGAAGTAGGCCAAATCCTCATTAAATGTAACATCCATAGTGACATACATTTTTTGAGTAGGTGGGTGATAACAACAATATCGTTTCTGATGAGAACCATATCCTACAAAAACACATTTGATAGCCCGAGGTGATAATTTGCTACGTTGATGAGAGAATGTGGGCATATGCAACACACCCAAAGACTTTGGGAGGGAGATTAGAGATGGAGGGCATATCTTGTATCTTTGCGGTGAGGATCTGAAGAGGAGTTTGGAATGCAAGAACACTGGAAGGGACTCGATTGATGACATACATAGCAGATAGCAAAGCATCACCCCACAAATATTTAGGAACATTCTTTTCAAGTAATAAAGCTCGAGTAACCTCTAAAAGTTGGCAATTACGTCGCTCGACAACACCATTCTGCTGTGGTGTATTAGTACATGATGTTTGATGGATGATGCCTTGTGACTGAAAGAAAACAACAAGCTCATTTGAGATATTCACCTCCATTGTCTGAATGTAGTACTTTGATAGTTGTGGAAAACTGGACCATAGTGCAAAATTGTTTAACAACTTTGTTCACTTCACTCTTGGGTTTCATTAGATAAACCCATGTAATCCAAGTACAATCATCAATGAAGGTAATAAACCATCGCATACCACAAGAAGTAAAATGTTGTGAGGGACCCCGTACATCCGAATGAATTAGAGTAAACGGCATTGATGCTTTATTATCAATTTTTGGAAATACTGCACGGTGGCTTTTAGCTAAGACACAAGTCTCACAAGTAGAACATTTAAATTCTTTATTACAAGAATCAAACAAGGTTGGTAAAAGATGCTTCAAGTAGCCAAATGATGGATGTCCAAGATGTTGATGCCATAACCAAATGAATTTCTCATTCTCTAAGACATGCTTACTTGTCTGGTTTGCTGAAATATTTCGAGCAATTTACTGAAAGAACCACAAGTTCCCTCTCCTAAAATCACGTCCAATTTCCTCCTGAGTATGTAGGTCCTGAAAAATACAATGTTTTGGGAAAAAATGACAGGAATATGCAGTCATGAGTTTAGACACAGATGACAAATTAGTTTCTAAAGTGGGAACAAGGAGAACATTGGACAACTTGATGTTGGGTGTAAGCTGAATGGCATCAATACCAGCAACAAAGATTATCTGACCATTGGCAATTCAGACACAGTATTTAGAGTAATTTTTAGTGAACGTAGTGAATTTCTTAGGGTTATTAGTCATATGATCCGTTGCTCCGGTGTCAATTATCCATGCATTATCACAAGCAGAAGTAGAAGTACATAGAGCATACGCAAAGTTACCCGTCTTGGCTTCATCTTCATTTTCAGTAGTTGGAGTGGTAGTGTTGACACATAAAAATTCAGCCCAAATCGAACGGCCCAAGGAATGAAGCCCAATTGGAGGATCCCCAAATCAGATAGCCCAAAGAACGAAGCCCAATCAGACAATTCAGAATGAAGGCCCAAATAGAGAGGCCCATGAACGCGGTAACACCATCACCCAATCTTGCAAGTTGCCCAAGATCTGAGCGAATGGAGTGCCATGCAGTCGTCCAGAGCTGCTACTTTATTCTTGCCCAAACATTCGAGTCGCCCAAGGTCTTAGCAAACATGAAGTGTTATGGTTATCAAGAAGCGCAGTTATCAAAGCAGTTATTAAGCAGCCCTATCACGTTCCACGATTCAAGGAATTCAATTGAAGACGGTTGAATGACAAAGAGTAATGGCAGCAGTTAGAAAAAGGCAGTTCCATGACAAGTTGGCCATTACGAGGAAAGTGGGCAGTTGTAGAACGATCAAGCAGTTTTTAGGCGGTTGATCACAAAGAGATCATCAGGGAGTATAAAAGGAAGAAAAGACATAGAGTAAAGGCTCCGAATCAAACACTCTCAAATAGAGAATATGTAACTTTCAATTTCTTAGTTTAGATTTAAACACTTCTTTTATAGTAACTCGTGTGCTTGCGCCCCTTGGAGGCATTCCGTTTTTACTTTCCGATTGTAAAGTTATCGCCAATAAAAATGCCCCTTTTTGGGACTTTGTCTCAAGAAGTTTGTCCCTTACACAATCGTCTGATCCCTTTTTAATTGTTAGTGACTAACCCGCGCGAAACAGGTAGCAAGTGATGCTCTACTTCCTTTTTTTTGTAATAAGTTATCTGCCCAATCAGGTCGACCATGAAGTTTCATGCATTTGTCCACAGTATGATTTTTTACCATTACAATGAGTGCATTTACGTTCGTCTTTAGCCGAATTTGATCCACCAGATTTGAAGAAAGGTTTTGGAGACTCATATAAGCTGCCCTCCTTCCCTTTGCATGCAGCTAAGGCACTGCCACTTGTATTTTCCTCACTCCCCATAGTTTTTTTAAGCGAGTATCCTCCTCACAAATCATGGCATAAGTTTCTAGGACATCAGGAAGGGGATTAGAAGGAAGCACATGGGCACGAGCTCCATCAAGATGAGAATCTAATCCTGCCAAAAAGATATAAACACGAAAATTTGTGACAGATGCTAAGTGGGTGCAGAGGTCAATTTCATTCTTGATCTGAGGAGGGTTGATAGCATCAAGTTCCTGCCATATAGTTTGTAATTCTTCATAGTAAACTTCAAGGGTGCGGCCTTCTTGTTTTACGTTGACAGATCTCCGTGTTAACTCATATACTCTAGAAGAATTATTACTTACAGTATAGGTCTTTTCTACAGCATTCAGATAGCCGCTGCTGTAGGAAGACGATCAAAGAGAACTCTCACATGTTTCTCCATTGAATTGAGAAGCCATGTCTGAACAGTGCAATTTTCCTCCCAAGTTTCATAGGTTTCAACACTAATTTTCTCGGGTGCCTTCTTTGTACCAGTAATATAGCCAAGTTTCTTCTTGCTGGCAATGGACATGCGAGCAATACGAGCCCAAGAATCATAGTTATTTCGACCAGTCAATTTTTCTGGTGCAATTTTGAAATTATCAGACGTATCACCAACAATTTTTTGTAGAGAAAAAAAAAGTAGCAGCGGAAGTATTGACTTAGGACAGTGTAGTAGTGGAAATATTGTAGTTTATAATTCCAGAAGCTGTATATCAACTATGTCTGCTCTGATACCATGACAAACATAGCAGTATTGAAGCAGTTTTTTCATATATTCATCTCTTGGAGGCAGAAATATATAGGTACAAAGCCAACTAATTTAGGAAACACAAACTAATTGATCTAATTAAGTAATTACAGGAAAATACTAATTACAATATCAATTAGGCAATTCTACCAATCTTTCCTGTAAGTAACAAAATCATATGATACACTAAAATCTCCTATAATTATGCACGGATCATTTTAACTGGTGGAAATCCCACGGGCTCAAAAAATTGTGTGATTTAGGAACATGATTTTTGCACAAGCTTCCTCGTTTTTCCCAGTCCCTTAGACCTTGAGTATAATCCATTCTTGAAGATATATCAGGTTTGAATGTTACCAAGTTGAAAATAATTGTTTTCCTGTATTCCATAAATATGCTTTTAATGTACAGATGCTATACAGAATGTTCGTCAAAGAATCCCCCACTCTTTTTGATTGTTGACTTATTTATTTATATCAAATCTCCTGGTTCTTTTTCTGATCTGCAGTTCTACAATAAAACTGATTAAGTTAAACTCTATGGTATTGCAGATTCAATGTCTGTGTGGAATCTCCTTAGAGAGTTCTGCATCAGGAGGATGCACATGGCTGTTGTTCTTAATGAATATGGAGGAACTGTTGGAGTAAGTCATATCCTCAGTTTTATTTATTTCTCTGAAATTATACAATTTCTTGGTATGTGGTCGTTAATTTTTTTTAAATTGAATTAGCCGCAGGATAATGTATTTGAATTATGCTTCTGATACCTTTGATATCTTCACTATGATTTTTACTTTTAACAGATAGTCACCCTTGAAGACATGGTTGAGGAAATTGTTGGTGATATTTTTGACGAAAATGATTCGAAAGTAAAGGTTACTTAAATTTGACTTTCATTTCATTTTGTCGTATTACTGATAGTAATTGTTACTCCATTGCTGATTTTGATTCCATTCATGTCCCTACTTATAAATTTTCAACATCCACAACACCCTTCTATCTATAGCTGTAACATGGACACCGACCACAAGAGATCCTGTGTTTGACGGCTGATCACAAAAATGTTTGTATACAGCATCACTTTATGAAAGTGATATCTAATTATGATTAGGGATCGTAGAACTCCTGCTCCACCTATTGAACTTTTCAATCTCCATCGTCATGCACTCGTGTAAAAGAATTTTAGGAGATACTTTGGCCAGGCCCATAAGCACATTTTAAGTCTTAGTTAAGAGGCAAGGATTATCTGGTGTGACATATGGCATTGTTTGAGAAACACTAAATGCCATCAATGTAAAGGAATGCCAACCAAGGTGTCGATACAATCGATACTTTTCCTGGACTTGTTTTCATTGTACAGTATTTCACTGTGTACCATCATTGAGACTTGCTGAACAGGACTTGGGACATCTTTCATTTACCCCATTGGTATTGTTTTAACTTCTTTTGGAGAGTTGTCATCCTGCTTTGTGTGCATATGTTGAAACATGAAATTTCTTGAATGGACCCAGGTGCTATAGATAGTGCTTGTATGGTAGTGCTTATAAGTTGTCGTCATACAGAATGGATGGATAATAAGTGGATAGTAAGTAGCGTGTCCTACGAAATGGGTGGATAAAAAGTATATTTGACCATCTTAAATATAATTTATGCTTTACCAAACGTGCTCATAATGTTAATGGTCTAGTTAGATTCATTATGTTAGTAATTCAAGTTTGTATTGGGAAATACTTGAGGAGCATTACGAGACAGAAGATTAGGTCAAGGATTCATTTTACACTTGAAAACCTGACTGGCCTTCAGACATTTTCCTCTTAATAGTTAACTTTTTGTTCTACTGCACGGCAGGAGGAAATCCAGAAGAAAACTGGCTATATTGTTATGCATGCCGAGGGCATATATGATGTGGATGCTAATACATCAATTGACAGCTTTCTGAAGACCTTAATATTAAAATGCCCGAGGTATTCCATTTCACTCTTATTTTTGACGAGTTTGAATGTTTGTCCTGGGAGTTGAACCAATAAGACAACTGTATTCTCTGTGGGTCGATGCCTAGGAAGTTAATGGGGGCAGACTAATTGTTGGCAATTTGTTGACACTGGTCAAATCCAGCTCAGCCCCATTGGATTGCAAGAATAACTTGTAAACTCCTTATTGATACACACTATCAATCACTAGTCAAAGCCTGCCTGCTTTAAGACATTCAAACTCTATGGTCTATGTATTTTTGTGTTGATTTAATGTTGATAGATGACTTGAGTACGCGAGATTGTGTTGACGTCCTTCGCATTGCACATATAATAGCATGCTTTGATATTGAAAATTCTGTGGACAATTAATTGACAGTTGCAAGTTGTGGAACACAATTATCTCTCAATGCTGCTGTTATTTTTCCTATACAGCAGAATAGTGTCTATGAATTTGAAATGAATTCTGTATTCTTTTCTGCTGTTGTTCTGTAGAAGTAGTTGTCTATAGCTAATGATTGCTGACATTTCCATTCAGGGCCATCAATATGAAACGGTGTCTGGTTCTGTATGTGAGGCATTTGGATATATCCCAAGGACGGGTGAAACCATAAAAGTGGTACTTGAAAGAGCAAATAGAGAAGATCATGGTGACTATAATGGGGTAGAATCTGAACGGCAAGACGAAAAAGAAAAGACAAATTTTTAAGCTGGAGGTATGCCTTTTATATCTGTTACCTTTTCTGTAAGTTTCACACAGCAGATGATGGTTTGCAATGCATGCTCTCTTGCTCTATTACGTAATAGGAAGTAAGCTGAGCCCTTTATAGTATCTTCTCCTGCTGTTTGATGTTTGCTCTTTGAACACTACTTGTACAACTTTTTCAGTTTTATTAAATTTTGAATTTGTCAACCAAGAATGAAAACCTTCTCGACTCACCGGGTGGATTTCTTCAAGTGTCAATTGAATGCAAGATTGAAACCTTATTTGGTGGCAACTGGTTCTTGATTTTGATATTGGATTATTTGCAATCAAAGCATGAATATTATAAATAGCAAGTGTTGTTGCTTCTCCTGCTTCTGACTTTATTGGGCAATTATACATGTAAAATCAACAAATATAATCTGCTCTATGAATCAAAACTTCATTTTTGCAACTACCTCGAACATTGAGATTGGTTGCCATTTCTTCATTTTTAGAAGCTTATATAACAAATAATAATGTTTGTGGTGCAGATATTAGAAGGAAATGCCAGAAAGGTTAGCATTGTTAGATTCAAACATATAAACCACGATGATGCAGCATCAGAGGTAACACACTTGGTTCCCAAAATCATGAAAGGGAAATGGAGTAACACTGATTACTCGGATAGGGAAGAAATCAACGAGGTTCCATTTCAGGAGATTCAGATAAAGATGGCTACTCTAATAATTATGTAAACTCTGTACATGAAGACACTGTTGATCATTTAAGTAAACAGTAGTTGCATTACTCCATTATTTCCATCTTTACTGGAATGAAATGAAAGTAAAGAGAAATTTTGCATATTTAAAAAACGGAAATGCTGATCTACCAAGGTCATTTACCAGGCTTCCTACATGCTCCTCACACTGAGGTGGGCCCCACGTCTGATCATCATGCATTAAAAAATTACAACAAAAATGGCTGACCCACCAACTAAGTCACAGCCTGCAAGAGCCCTGTAAGGGTTGACCGTGGAAGTGTAGCATCACTCTTCAAAAAATACTATCATGTATACTCAGTTAGCATGTGAACTTTTTAGAGACACATAAAGTTTTACAATCCATTTTACAACTTGAGGGGTGGCTATCCTACGGTATGAATAATAAGTGAATATTAAATTGTTTGGAAAGTTGTATGGCAAGTGAGATGTTCACGAAATTATTTCTTTCGATTTAAAACTACCGCAAGTGTAAGGTTTGTTAACAAGTAATAAAGTGGATTAAATGAATCCGAATATCGTCCAACAAAGATTGATTAGTTCAATTTTACTTATTGTCGCCTTAACCGAAAATAAATTACTAAAGTGAATGGGAACCTAATTAATACCCTAATTTTGGAAAGAAAACCCTAATTATGCAATTTTTGTAATTGAATTAAATTAAATATGCAAAACAATATTTTTAACACTCTAAAATAAAATCAAATGTTGAGAACGCACGTTTATTGTAATCAATAGAAATTAAACACACTATGATCACGGTTTCCCATACAATTATCACTTTAAAACTCTAGTTTCACAATGTAACAACACACTTCAATTGTGACGAACCAATATTCCTAAGTATATCCAATATTCTCTCTCGAGATGTATCGAACATATTTCTACATGCCACCGGCCTATATTTCTATGACAAGTGCATATGTAAAAATGCATGCGGTTTTATGAACACTTAAAGATTCACGTAGGGCATAGCAGTATATTTTTATTCCCTATCGGACCCTACAATGATTTATATTATGTCGAACCTATTCCAGTTCTCTCGAATGAAAGAATGAATCACCCAAACACACACAATTATGGGCCCTTAATTGCGGAAACAATAATTGCATATAAATCATTCAAAATAATAGAAATATGTTTTAATGTCAAATTGCAAAATTAGAAAATTAAAGATCATATTACATGGTACATCAATCTCCTAGCACATGAAAATCTAGCCTAACATGGTTAAAATAAAAGAATACATCAGATTTTGGATAAAATGCATCACCGGTTTATGAAATCTTGAGAAATCTTGAAACTCTTCGTGTAAATTTTCGTTCTGGCGCTCAAAATCCTCTCCAAGAAGTGTTTTTCTGCCTCCAACACGTTCTGCTTCTTTCTGGACGTCTTTTGATATTTATATCGCGTGAAAATTAGGTTACCAAAGGAGTTTCAGTCGTATAAAGAAACTGCAGAATTGGCCCCAAAACTTGTTCTATGCGACCACATAGAACATTTTTATGCGGTCGCATAGAGTAAAAAAAATTTGAGAAAAAAATTCTCGGGAGGCCTCTATGTGACCGCATAAAGGGTAGCACTATGCGGTCGCATAGTGCTGCCAACTATGCAAAATGTCTATTTTGGTCCTTGAACTTTCATTTTTCTTCATTTTAGTCCCTTTGCAATTCCTTCTTCTTCCAATCATCTTGTATCACTTTTGAGTTAATACTTAGGATATTTGCATTTTCGGGTTGCCTTTTAGTTCAAATTTTGAATATTTGCATCCTTAGTCCCTGAACTATCACTTTGCTCTATTTTAGTCCTTTTCGGCTCTTTTCTCCTGAATTCCACCATTTTCATAGAAACACCTACATTGCATGAATTGAACGAGATTAAGTCACAATTCAAATATTTTGCTAGTAATTAAGTCATGTTTGTGATCTAAATAATTGTGCAAAAACACACTTATCAAACCCCCCAAACTTAAACTATTGTTTGTCCTCAAATAAGATAGTAACTTAATTCTGAACAAACATGACTTAATATCCTGTCGTGGCTCAGGATTGGACTAAATATTTGACTTTATGAGAATTTATCAGTGTAAAAATGACATCAACCTTTACCTGTTAAATGCATACTTGACGTGTGTGTGTGTGAATTCATGCCAACATATCAAATTCGTGATGGGTTAAGTCCCAACCCCAAGTGGTCAAATGTATCATTACTTGCTCGAGAGATACACAATCCCCCAAACTTATTCTTTTCACTCAGTTATCCCGGGATTGTGTTTTAAAATTAGGAGTTTACATAGCTGTAGTTCTCACCCTCTCGTAATTTGGATTAATCTCACTATCACAAGTTTACATTTCAACAAGTGAATGCTCTCCCAAGTTTGATTGTTTCGACACTCAAGATTAAAATAGGTTACTTGCCTTGCTTCAAATGTATAGTTTTCTCAACCAAATGTCTAAGGGCTTTTCTTCATGTTATTGTCTCTCTTTCGTTTTTCTCACTTTCTAATTTTTTTTTTTTTTTAATATCATCTTCTCATTTGCTTTCTATATAACTCATGTAATGAATTTTAGGTCGGTGACTCTTAAACCAGTTGGCTTTAGGGTACTAGGTTTTAAACCCTTGCAGGCTTATTCACTCGAGTTATAAAGGCTCGATCAGATGACTTTTTATTAACCCCTTTCCCTGTTGCTTTCTATATGACCCCTTTAGCAAGCTTTAGGCCGGTGACTCCCAAGCCAGTTGACCTTGGGGCACTAGATTTTAAAATATTCTTATAGACTTACTTACTCGAGTCATAAAGGCATGAAAAGAAGTGTCTTATTCTCACAAATTAATTTTATGCCCTTATTGTTCTAGACATTCATTACACCAAAAATAGCCTTTTGCAACATGCAAAAGGCAACATTCATTGATTAAATGTTGCTAAATGTGTCTAACACAACATTTTTACTGGTGAATGTTGCCATTAGTTAACAAGATTGAGATTTGGCAGCATTTTTTAAGTGTATGTTGCTAATGTCATTTTTTTGCAACATTTATTGAGTGTTGCGAAAAAGTTTCACTTTTTGCAACGTTTATTGAGTGTTGCGAAAAATAGACACTTTTCGCAATGTTTATTAAATGTTGCGAAAACTGACACTTTTCGCGACGTTTATAAAAACATTGTTAATATAACTTTTCGCAACGTTTACAAAAATGTTGTTAATATAACTTTTCGCAGTGTTTATTAAACGTTGCAAAATCAGACATCTTTTGCAACGTTTATTAAAATGTTGTCAATATGAGATATGCTAACTTTTCGCAACATTTAATAAACATTGCAAACTCTTTTTTTTTTTCAAAACGAATGATATTGGCTCAAATGATAAACACGCGATAACTCAAACCATTCCTTCATCCTTCTTCCGGCTCTTCCTCCTCCTGTCTCCGTCTTCGCCATTTAACTTCGGGCTCCGGCACAGTCATGTAGACGGACAACAAACACTACACAACTGTTCTTCTCCGCCATTCAATCTTCTCAATCACGGGATCTGTTGCGGGCCTTGCAACTCAGCCCTGTTTTCAAGCCCTAGATAACTATAGGAAGATGCGGCAACCGTCGACCTTCGATTCCACATTTCCACCGGCGATTCAACCGAAGCACCTGCATAGCAGAAGAAGGTAAAACATTAAACATCTGCATAATCTCTATAAGCTTATAACTTTGGTAAATATGGGAAAATCAACAAAGAAATCAGCTTCCAAGGTAAATATTGTTAGCTTTCTCACGTTTTCTTTGTGCAGCTATTGTAGATGATTATTGTTGATATGCCTACCTCGTCCCAAATAAATAAGTAAATAGAAAATTAAGAAATTTGTTAATGAAAGATTATTAGAAGCATGTATTAAGATTATACTCAACTGTACAACCAAGATTTGATTCAAAGGAGACTGAAAGGAAGGAAAGATGAAAATGCAAAATTTATTTTAGATGTTCTTCTATCTCAATTTATATGAAAGCTCATTTTTGCTGTCTAGCATAAATACAAAATGCATGCTCTTTCTTATTTAATGCTTGAAATATTGAATTTTTGCAAGAAAATCTATTCAATGAAATGAGGCTTAAACAAGAGGATTGTGAAGCGGAAGTCGATAAATTGAAAAAGGAGAGAAGCAGAACTTTCGTCTCTGTATGCTACTTCATTATCAAAAGTTCACGGTATGCAAGTGTTTAATATATCATTGATTGGGCATAAATGAGATTTAGGCATATTAGGAATGAGGTAACAATAACAGAGATTATTCTATCACAATGTTTGGTATATAAAGCAATCATAACAAGTTTTTCTTACATATGACTATAGGAAATTGGTCCCTTGAAGTAAAACTTGATGCTCCATTCCGATCTTAAAATATAGTGAGAAAAAGAAAAGAATAGGGGGAGAGCTAAAATAAATTTAGGATTACACATTGGTCCTCTTATTATTGAAAAATTATCATTACAGTTTTTACTTTTGACAAAGTGTAGACATTCTCCTAGGTCCAAAATGTTCGTGTACGACATGAGTTTGAGGATTAGGTTCATCTTTCTATATTCTGTGAAAGGGTGACTGGAAGTATAATTTTCTTGTTCAAGACATGCCAGATATTTTACTATATATCAAGCTTAAGTTGTGGATGCTGCTTTTCCTACTTGCTTATTTAGGATGGAGCGCATATCTAAATCAAATTATTTTTCACTGCCTTCTTTATATTATTAAAATTTCTATAGGTACATGAAACTCTCATTTTATACTTCATATTTGGAATTTTATTTCCAGATAAGCCTTTATTCTAATTTGTAGTTCTGTGTTTTGTAGGAAATGACAATCTCCAGTCTCCAGGAGCGGTTAGGAGATCCAGCCATCGGAAACAACCCTATCTTACGTCTTATTGCTGGGATTATATTCATGCATGAGCAGGATTATAATGAAATTTTGAAACATACAAATGCAGGGGAAACCATGGATCTGTGAGTCTTTTCTAGATTTGATGATGAGAATCTCTAGTTGTTTCCCTTCTATTCTAGATGAGCATGGTGAATCTTGATAATCTCTGGTTGATTCCTGCAATCTTCGAGGTGGTTGATGCTTGATGGATATGTAGATTGTGACACACTTCTGCTGGCGGTGCTATGTTTTTTTGTCCCATGGAATTTGTTAAGTTTGCTTGATTGTCAATTTTTTGGGTGGTGTGGTGGTGAGTATTAATTTTAGTTAAAGTCATTAACCATCACTCCTTCATAATGTGTTTTTTCTTGGCATTGTGGGTCTCAACTCTGAGTTAGTTATGTAGCATCACCATATGTTTCAACTAAATTTCCAGGTTATCATCAATGTGTCCTGAAACCTCTAATTATTTAGTTTCTCCATACCTAGCTTTCCTCCAATTTTTTTAGTTAGAACTGCGTCTGGAGTTAGCAAATGGTCTATAAAGTTTTCTTTTATTTGTTTCAATAATTTGATCATAAGAAATTGCTTCTTGTTCTACTCCAGTGAGATTTTCCTTATGCCCATTATTCTTTATTTTTGTTTTAATTGACGTTTCCGTTTCTTTAATAATTTCATTTCAAATAACTAGGAGTTTTTAAAAAAAAAATAAAAATTAAGAAATACGTTATAGTTAAATTGTCCAAAATGTTAAGAAATAAATTATGTTAAATTGTCTTCAGTGATCATTTGTTGCTAACAAAATTTTATTAGTTTGATATTTTTTGACACTAGTTTTCCTTTATCAGATCTAACCTTGGATTTGTCTGTCTTAACACTTTTTTTTTAGTGTGGCATGTTTCTGTTCAAATATTTCTTGTTATAACGATGCTTGAATGTGTGGAGATTCCTTTCAATGGTTGCCTGAAATTGCTAACAGTACAAGTGCTGGGTTGTGATTGCATGCATTTTTTCAATTACTTCTCTGTGTCCAATCATAGTGCAATTTTTGACAATGGCTTCTGTTTTGATATAAGACTTAATTCATATCCAGCTCTTTGGGTATTTGTTTCTGACTTGTCATTGTTTTAAATTGTTGTTCGAAATCTTTCTGTTATTGTTTAGATACACTACTTTAGGTGCCCAATCAATGAAGGTATGCAAGGCCATGGTGCTGGAATCTGAAAATTTGAAATTCAAAATTAATGAACTTGATGCCAAATTGATGAACTCGTGTCGAAGATTTTTGTGAAGAAATTTGAGGAGGCCGATGGGGTTGTTTCTCACTACTTAGTTTGTCGTATTTTATATATATATATATATTTTGGAAATTGTATTGAATTTTAGGTGCTTTAGAATTTTGTATGGATATTGTTATGTTTTGGAGTTCAATTAATAATAATTGTTGGAGTTATTTAATATTGTGATCTTCTATCATATTTTGTGGTTGATTTATGTAAATTATTGTACAAATAAAAAAAAAAGAAAAAAAAATGTAAAATGACTTTTCGTAACGTTTAAAAACGTTGCAAAATTGACTTTTTGAAACGTTTTTTAAGTGTTGAGAAAAGTCATTTTTTGCACGTTTTTTAAGTGTTGCAAAAAGTCACTTTTCGCAATGTTTAACAAACGTTGCGAAATGTGGCAAAAAGTTGGAAAAGTCACTTTTGGCAACGTTTGTCAAACATTGCGAAATGTCACTTTTGGCAACGTTTGACAAACGATGCAAAAAGTGACAAACGTTGCCAAAAGTGACCCTTCGCAACAGTGAAGAAACGTTGCAAAAACTTTTCTCTTAACGATAACATCGACCTTCGCAACATACGCTCAAACGCTACAAATGGTCATTTGTAGCGTTTTTTGGCCGCTACAAATGACTTTTTTTGGTGTAGTGATTTAGTTTTCAAAACCAATCCCCAATTTAAGATTTTCATCTAATCTTCACCTCACTGGTCTAGATAATTTACACAATAAAATTTCATGCACGGAGCCCCCGCTTATCTCAATGCTCCCTATAATAGCTCAACCAATTCCAAACCGTCTTAAGGTGATTTACGTGTTAATTCAATAAAGGGTTATCATTCTTTTCTTACTTTATACTCAAAATCCAATCATTCACCTAACATGTCAAGCATGAATAGCGTGCATAGATAATGTTAAGTATTACACCACAAGTCTCGGTTAATCTATTCAACACTATATCCAAAGTTTATGAATTATATCAATCCAATAATCACATCATAGCCGGCAAGGCTATCAAGCCCACACAAGCATGCAAAAGTATAATCAACACTCACTCATCAAGTATGCATCATGCAACAATTAGTCAATAATAACGATGGACTATGAAAATGCAAAATAATTACATGTCGACTATTTGTTTTAAATTATGCCACCATCCCCCAAACTGATACAGTACATTGTCCTCAATGTAAAAATTAAAGTTTAAATGGCATAATTTAAAAAAAAAAATGAACACAAAATAGCAAAATGAGTTAAACAAGACTCCCTGATTAATATGATGGCTGTGATGGAAGGTTGGGTCCTGCAGCATCATCTCCAGGAGGGGGAGGAAGGCAGGATAAAATCTCTATCAATAGGTCAGACTGCTGGGTCTGCTCTACCTGCATGGCCTAAACCCTGGTCTCCAAGTTTCCTAAACGGTCCCACATCTCATTCACTCGCCATTGTATACCATCCATTCTGCCAACATACATTCCCAATCTCCCATCAAAGGTACTCATCTCTCTTCTTGCTGCAAGGGACTCATTGCTGGCATTGGATGCGAAGTTTCTTGTGATTGTCATTCTGCACCTGCTGGATGGTGGAGCATTGCTCCAAATGATTACCGAAGACTCTGCATGTCTTGACTGTGTCCTGTCATAGTGGTAAACATCTGCCTCAATAACTGGGTATCAATGTCAATCGGTGGTGGAAGAACTTGTGGCATCTCGAAGTTCTCAGTTGCTTGCTCGGCTCGGCTCGTTAACCCACGAGCTCGGCTCGTTGCTTGTGGGCGAGCTCCGCCCGTCCCACGAGCTCGTGTACTCACGAGCAACGTGCTCGTGGGTCAGGTCGAGCCGAGCCGAGCCGAGCCGAGCCCACGAGTGGTTCATGAGCTCGTGAATTTTTTTTTTTTGCAAAATTTTCAAATTTTATTGATAAAATCTTAATTTTTTTTACCTTTTTGGACTAGCCGGCTCGTGGGCTTGGCTAGTGGGCTCGGCCCACGAGCCGCTCGTCGAGCTCGATGAGTCGAGCAGGCTCGGCTCGTTGGACATGACCCCCTGCTCGGCTCGAGCTCGGGCTCGTCATTTGACGAGACCGAGCAGCCCACGAGTCAAGCTTTGACGAGCCGAGCCGGCTCGGCCCAATTGACATCCCTAGCTGTCGGCGTCGCTTGTTTTCTAACTTCTGTGAATGTTTAACTTTGGTTCGGTCCTGGGCCTCTAATGTGAGGCGCTTGATATAGGAACTTGGTTTTTCTAGTGCTTCCCCAGGCTGGACTTGTATGCCTGCAGCTTTACATATCCCACTTATCAAACTTGGGAAAATTAGCGAGGTGTGCCTATCTCCCCATGTGCTTATATTCTGTATTTGGTTGTAGATGCATATGGTCAAATCAATCTTGTTTCCCCGAACCAAATGATAGATAAACCCCGCCTTTTGATTTGTGAATGTCGTCTTATAGGATATGGGCTCGATGTTGTGGCATATGAATAACCATAGGATAGCTATAGATGGGGTGAGATCAATCTGATACTAATCTGCTGTAAGTAGAGGCCAAGCATTCTCACGTCCCAATAATACTTCTGCAACCTCAATCCAATTGAAATTATGTGGGATCGGGACCACATGATTCCAGGTTAGCTGATAATAGTCATGAATCACTTCTGGTAAGAACATAATCCATTTACCCCACCCATGTTTGATGTGGATGATCTGATCCAGGAGTGTCGATTTCTGTATTGAAGTTGGCATAGAACTCATTCACCAAATTGTCATACACTGGATGTGGTCTTTCAATTACTTTCTCCCAACCACAGTTGTGGTTTAAGTAAACTAATTCAAAACCGGGGAAATCATCCAACTTAACTGGCCTTTCGGGGATGAGTGCCCACTCGCGGACAACATTGGTGTAACGGGCTACTGTGTCTAAGGATAGAAATCTCCTGAGACCCCCATTCGGGCTTTCTAGTCCGGGTTGTGCCAGATGCGGAACCAACCTTCTCTTTTCCTTTTGATGTTCTCTTTGGCGGCATTCTGCAAAGGTAAGAAAAGAGGTGTATAAAGCTCTTGACTTGTGATAATTAAGAAAACAAGAGAGGATGGCTGTGAAGTGCAAAATCTCCAAACTTACTTCAAAGTGCATATATAGCATGTAAGAGTGTACTTTCCAATGAATGAGTTCAATATAGTATCGAAATTGCATAAATATGAGAAGCTCATAAACTGTGGTCCAAACATGCACTTTTTTTTTTTTTTTTGAAATTTTGACCCGTGACCAAGTGGGGACTTTCAGCCCCGGGCATCACCGAGAAATATCAATTTTTTTCCCAAGTGACCTCTGAACACATGAAAGTATCCATATTATTCTAGCTCATATCCGAATTTCAAATCATTTGGACTTCGTTTGGGTTGTCAAATTACGTGCCGAAGTGGGTGACGTGAGGTGCCGTGATGTGACCTAACCATGTGCCTTAGTGTGGTCAAATTGGGATTCGGTGTTTTCCAAGTTAATTTCCATGTAGTTCTATAGTAAAATACAAGGCAATTCACATCTCATTAACTATACATGCACAGTTTACAAGAATGCCTCAAACATGTCGTTTAGGCGTTTCATCAAACACATCACGTGCATTATATTTGAGCCCTAAGAATCTCATAAATTGAAAAGTGAATCATCCCACAGCACAATCATTATCCAATAACATCAATCCATATCTACCTATTGCCCAATCTCCTCAGTATATATGTATGAATCTAGCACACATTCGGATTAAAAAATTGAACCAAAATTTCAATTGAGAAGAATGGAACAAATTCATACCTTAGAATTGATGAAGTTGTGATAAATGCGTGGAGTGCTAGGTGAAGTACTTTGACTGATTGGTGGTGTGCGTGAAATTGGGGAGAACTCTTGCCCTAGAACTCGTCTTGTGCGTGAGTGTGAGGGGGAGGGAATTTTGGGGGTGATGGGAGGAAGTAGTGTGGAAGAGGTGGGTTACGGGCTTAAGACCCGTAACTGGGTCACTATGCGACCGCATAGTGTTGCACTATGCGGTCGCATAGTACAACAATATGGGGGCCACTTTGCTTTCAGTAATGGTCTGTGTGACTGCATAGACCATTTTTTTATTTTTTTTTCAAATTTGAATTATGAAAAAAAAAATCAAAATTACAATTTTAACCCCCAAAACGCAACTTAAATAAAAATTTCCCCCAAAGTTGGTTTTCAATTAAAAAATTTGACTCAACTAATATCATCCCCGAAAAATTTAGAAACCTCCAATTCAATGGGATATGTGCTTACCGAAGGACTTAGCACCAAAACCAATTTATGGAATAAACTTGAAACTCATTCCAAAAATTTTTATGAAGAACAACTTTGTGCATCGAAATGCATGACTTCACACTCAATCCCCCAAAACAACTTCAATCAACTTGACTCATGCCACCTTATGTGTGTAATGCTTAGACTTGTATGCGTGAAAGATCGATGACCTAACAAAAAAAATGCAAAAGTGAAAATTAAACAACTCCTAAAATAATGTGCAAAGTAAATAAATCGAAGGATACGGTGGGTTGCCTCCCACCCGGCGCTAGGTTATAGTCGATAGCTCGACTTTTCTGCAACTGCTTTATTTTGACGTCCCGAGTTGAACGATGGACTTTTGGTTGGAGAAGTTATTGCCCCAGTAGTGTTTCAGCCTTTGCCCATTAATAGTGAAGGTACCCTTAGTCTCATGGCGGACTTGTATAACCCCATATGGTAGGACTTTCGTGACAATATAAGGGCCCGACCACCGTAATCGTAGTTTTCCTGGGAACAGCTTGAGTCTAGAATTATATAATAGCACTGTTGCCCCACTTCGAATTCTTGCCTCTGAATATGCATGTCATGCCACCTCTTGGTTCGCTCCTTGTAGAGTTTTGAATTTTCATAAGCTTCCATTCTAAATTCATCTAACTCATGAAGTTGCAGTAGGCGCTTTTCACTGGTGGCACTCAAGTCCATATTTAATTGTTTCATAGCCCAATATGCCTGGTGCTCTATTTCTAGTGGCAGATGGCACGTTTTTCCAATAACTAGGCGGTATGACGACATGCTTATCGGTGTCTTGAATGCTATCCTGTAAGTCCACAATGCATCGTCCAGCTTTTTAGACTAGTCCTTTCTAGATGAGTTCACTGTGACCTCGAGTATTCTCTTCAGCTGCCGATTAGATACTTCAACTTGCCCGCTGGTTTGTGAATGATATGCAGTAGCAACACAGTGTTTAACGCCATATTTATTCAACAGCTATTCAAACTGGCGATTACAGAAGTGTTTGCCCCCGTCATTGATTATAGCTCGCGGTGTACCATATTTGGTGAAAATATATTTCTTCAAGAACCCAATTATTGCCTTTGAGTCATTTGTTGGTAGTGCAACTGCTTCCACCCATTTTGATACCTAGTCCACTGCTACCAAGATTTACTGATTTGAGAATGGAGGGAAAATGTCTCATGAAGTCAATTCTCCAAACATCGAATATCTCCACTTCCAAAATGTTATTCAGTGGCATTTCTTTTCTTCTCGAGATATTTTCAGTGCGTTGACATCTGTCACACCTCTTGACAAACTCAAAGGCGTCTCTAAATAGTGTAGGCCAGTAGAACCCTGATTGTAGAATCTTTGCAACTGTTTTCTAAGCCCCAAAGTGCCCTGCATATGCAGATGAGTGGCAGTGCTTGAGAATCTAATGTACTTCTTCCTCATGTATGCATCTCCTTGCTATCTAATCAGCCCCTCGCCTATAGAGAATTGGATCCTCCCAGAAATAATACTTCAATTCAGCGAAGAACTTTTTCCTTTGGTGACTTGAGTAGTCCAGCGGTGGGATGGAATTGGCCAAGTAATTGACGATATCTGCGTACCAAGGTGCTTCATCTGCTCTCAAATCTGATCATCCGGGAAGATATCATTGATGTCTACTAATTCTTCTGTCTCCCCAGGCTCTAATCGGGATAGGTCATCCGCTACTACATTCTCATTGCCCTTCTTGTCTCGTATCTCGATATCAAATTCTTGCAGCAACAGTACCCAACGAATCAATCTCGACTTTGCATCCTTCTTTGTAAGTAGATACTTCAATGCAGCATGATCTGTGTAGATGATGACTTTAGACCCGACAAGGTATGATCTGAATTTGTCGAATGCATATAACACGGCCAACAACTCATTTTCAATGGTGGCATAATTGATTTACGCATCATTTAGAGTTCTGCTTGCATAGTAGATCGCATGAAAGATCTTGTTCCTCAACTATCCTAATACTGCACCTACGGCATGATCACTGGCATCACACATCAATTCAAAAGGTAGTTCCCAGTCTGGTGCCACAATTACTGGTGCTGTCGTGAGCTTCTCCTTTAAAGTGTTGACTGCTGTGAGGCATTCCTCATTAAACTCAAATGTTACGTCTTTCATTAGCAAATTGCATAACGACTTAGTGATCTTCGAGAAATCTTTTATAAATCTCCTATAGAACCCCGCATGCCCCCAAGAAGCTGCGAACTCTTTTAACTGATGTAGGTGATAGTAACTTCTCAATAACTTGAATTTTTACCTTGTCCATCTCAATTCCTTTTATCGAGATCTGATGCCCGAGTACAATACCTTCGTGTACCATAAAGTGGCATTTATCCCAATTTAAAACTAGGTTTGTCTCCTTGCATCTCTGTAAGACCAAATTTAGGTGTTCTAGACATTCATCGAATGAAGATCCAAACACTGAGAAGTCGTCCATAAAAACCTCAATAAACCTTTCAATCATATCATAGAATATTGCCATCATACACCTCTGAAATGTGGCTGGAGCATTGCAAAGATCAAAAGACATCCTACGATAAGCAAAAGTATCGTAGGGGCAAGTGAAAGTGATCTTCTCCTGATCATCTAGTGCAACAGGTATCTGATTGTAGCCCGAGTATCCATTAAGGAAGCAGTAGTGTGAATGTCCAGCCAACCTCTCCAACATCTGATCAATGAATGGGAGTGGGAAGTGATCCTTTCGTGTAATTGCATTGAGTTTGCGATAATCGATGCAAACTCTCCATCTCGTAACTGTTCTGGTGGAAATTAATTCATTCTTCTCATTTTTCACCACTTTGATTCCCCATTTTTTCGGTACCACTTGAATTGGATTGATCCATGCACTATCTGAAATTGGGTAGATAATTCCTGCATCCAGTAATTTCAGTATCTCTGTCCTGACTACTTCCTTCATGTTCGGATTCAATCTTCTCTGACCCTCTATACTTGGCTTGCAATTTTCTTCCATTAGAATTTTATGCATACACAGAGAATGCCTGATCCCTTTAATGTCAGCTATTGTCCACCCAATCGCCGTCTTGTTCTCTCTGAGTACCCTGAGCAATTTTTCTTCCTCCACCTCACTGATTGTGTTTGAAATGATTACTGAAGTGTATTTGACTCCCCCAAATATGCATATCTGAGATGTGGCGGTAGTTACTTGAGTTCTAAAACTGGGGGTTGCTGAATGGAAGGCGGTGGCTTTGTATTTCCCATCCCCAGTTTCTCGAAGTGCCTCTTTTGGGTCTATAGCGGGTTGGTCTCCAAAAACTTCGCACATGTTTCAATTTCAAGAGAATCTGACTGAACTGATTGGGTTTGTGCAATGCATGCCTCAGGCGTCAGATGGGTTATGAAGTAAGAATGTTTCTTGTACTGCCTTGTCAATAATGTCAACTTGGTAACAGCTATCTGATTCTACTGGCAGTTTCATGGCCTTGAATACATTGAACGATATATGCTCCTCTCCCAATCTTAAGATCAACTGTCCCTTTGAACATCAATTAACGCTCTCCCTGTGGCCAGAAATGGTCTGTCAAGTATCAATGGGACATCCTTGTCTTCTTCCATGTCCAAGATAAGAAAATTCACTGGGAATATGAACTTTTCAACCTTGATAAGCACATCTTCAATTATCCCTCTGGGATGTGTCAGTGACCTGTCCGCCAGCTGAAGTGTCACAGTAGTCACTTTAGCTTCTTCCAAGCCGAGGTTCCTAAAAACAGACAGAGGCATTAAATTAATACTTGCATCGAGGTCACATAATGCTTTATCGAAATAGACTTCACCAATAGTGCAAGGAACAGTATAACTCCCTGGATCTTTCAGTTTTGATGGGAGCTTTTTTTGGATTCTGGCACTGCATTCCCCCGTAAGCATTATTGTCTCATGGTCCTCCAGCTTGTGTTTATTTGATATAATATCTTTGAGAGACTTCGCGTAGCTAGGCATCTGGAATAGTGTATCGGCTAGTGGGGTGTTGATATGGAGCTTTTTGAAGACTTCTAGGAATTTTTTGTACCGTTGCTCCAATTTTTGCTTCTTCAACCGCTGTAGAAAGGGAATCGGAGGCTCGTATGGGTTGATTGTGACTTTGGCCTTATCCTGTGACTTTTCTGAATTTTCCTTTGGAGTTGATTACTTTACAACAATCTCTTCTTCAGCAGGGGAAGATGTCTCTTTAATCACACCCGGTCTCTTGATATGGATTTTAGGCAATTGTACTCTACTTCGAGTTGTAATGGCCTTGGCTTGTTCTTTGGAATTGATTTCTGTGTTACTCGACAAGTTACCTGGCATTTTACCAGTCAATGCGATGGTCAACTGCCCCATCTGAGTTTCCAAATTTTTGATGGCTGCATTTTGATTTTGAAGTGTAGCTTCGGCTTTCTCCATGAATTTTCCTATCGTATCTTCCAATTGAGGCCTCTTCTCTTGTTGTTGAAATTGTCCCTGTGGCTTATTTTGATTCTGGTTGCTCAAAGAGGAGTTGGGATGCTTCTTCCAACTGGGATTGAAAGTTTCTCCATATTGATTGTGTTGTTGGCGTTATCCCCACTGTGCAAGTCTGCTTGCTCAATTCCTTACTGCTTGAGTATTGGGCATTATGATGTTTTATGCTCAACTCCACATTCCTCATAATTGCTCTTCTTAGCTTGTGCTGATTGTGATATGCTTTTCACCTTGTGATACAGAGAGTTGATTTTTGTAGATATTGCTAAATAAGTATCCACCTCATAGACACCCGGAGTTTTCCTTGGAATCGCCCCCTCAGAAGACCACATGACTGTTGTGGTAGCCATTTTCTCAAATAATTCCAATGCCCTATCAACTGTTCGTTTGGATATTGAGCCATCTAACGCTGAATCCACCATGATCTTGTGGTATGGAAATAACCCTATGTAGAATAATCGAATTTGGGTCTTTTTATCAAACCCATGTTGAGGGCACTTCCGGAGCATTTTTTGAATCTGTTCCAAACTTCGTCAAATGATTCAATTTCTCCTTGACTAAATACTGATATGTCATGTCTCAGTTTCGCCATCTTAGCTGGGGAGAAAAACTTTGTGCAGAATTTGTTTACCAACTCGTTCCATGTAGTGATACTTGCAACCGAAAGTGAATCCAACCATTCAAGTGCTCTGTCTCATGGCGTATGTGGAAACAGCCTTAGCCTAATAGCATCGTCCGAAATCCCTTGGTATCTGAAATGTTGACACATATCCAAAAATCAAGATACGTGTGTATGTGGATTCTCCTTGGCTTTGCCATAAAACTGGTGTCCATTTTGAAATAGCTGTATCACATTGGTCTTCAACTAGAAATTTGGCTGCCCAAATGGTGGATACACTATGCTGGATTGACTTTGAATTACTTGAGGAGTCAAGAAATCTCCCAGAATCTCCTTTCCTTCATCCATTGCCTCTCTTTCATTAGCTTGAATAATGTGATTGTTTAGTTCGTTAGCCATTTGTACTTGTGCTTCTCGATGATCTCTTTGCAGTCAATGAAAGGTGCGCTCAATTTCAGGATCAGCTGGAATCAATTCTCCTCTAATCGATCGTGGCATGCAAATCTCAGAAACAAAACCAGTACGAGCACTGAGATTCAAAAAATTTAAATAACTAAAACACAAATAAAGGATAATAACCTAAAATAAAAACAAAAACAAAATTATACTAGCAAAATAAAAATTGAAGTTCGAATTAGTGTCTCGAGAAATAAAATTAAACTAAACTTAATCCCCAGCAACGATGCCAAAAACTTGTTCACGAAATTATTTCTTTTGATTTAAAACTACCGCAAGTGTACGGTTCGTTAACAAGTAATAAAGTGGATTAAATGAGTCTAAATATTATCTCACAGATATTGATTAGTTCAATTTTATCTATCGTCGCCTTAACCGAAACTAAATTACTAAAGTGAATGCGAACCTAATGAAAACCCTAATTTTGGAAAGAAAACCCTAATTATGCAATTTTTATGATTGAATTAAATTAAATATGTAAAGCAATATTTTTAACACTCTAAAATGAAATCAGATGTTGAGAACGCACGTTTGTTGTAATCAATAGAACTTAAACACACTAGAATCACGATTTCCTATGCAATTCTCACTTTAAATTCCTAGTTTTACAATGTGACAACACACTTCAATTGTGACGAACCAATGTTCCTAAGTCTATCCAATACTCTCTCTCGAGATGTATCGAACCTATTTCTATATACCACCGGCCTATATTTCTATGGCAAGTGCATATGTAAAAATGCATGCGGTTTTATGAACACTTAAAGATTCACGTAGGGCATAGCAGTATATTTCTATCCCCTGTCGGACCCTACAATGATTTATATTATGTCGAACCTATTCCAATTCTCTTGAATGCAAGAATAAATCACCCAAACTCACACAATTATGGGCCCCTTAATTCGAAAACAATAATTGCATATAAATCATTCAAAACAATATAAATATGTCTTAATGTCAAATTGCAAAGTTAGAAAATAAAAGATCAAATTACATGGTACATCGATCTCCTAGCACATAAAAATCTAGCCTAACATGATTAAAATAAAAGAATACATGAGATTTTGGATAAAAAGCATCACCGGGTTATGAAATCTTGAGAAATTTTGAAGCTCTTCGTGTAAATCTTTGTTCTTGAGCTTAAAATCCTCTCCAAGAAGTGTTTTTCTGCCTCCAATACGTTCTGCTTCTTTTTGGACGTCTTTTGATATTTATATCAAGTGAAAATTAGGTTACCAAAAGAGCTTCAGTCGTATAAGGAAACTGCAGAATCGGCCCCAGAACTTGTTCTATGCGACCGCATAGTACATTTCTATGCGTTCGCATAGAGTAAAAAAATTTGAGAAAAAATTCTCGGGAGGCCTCTATGCGACCGCATAGAGGGTAGCACTATGCGGTCGCATATTGCTGCCAACTATGCAAAATGTCTATTTTGGTCCTCGAACTTTCATTTTTCTTCATTTTAGTCCCTTTATAATTCCTTCTTCTTCCAATCATCTTGTATCGCTTTCGAGTTAATACTTAGAATATTTGCATTCCCAGGTTGCTTTTTAGTTCAACTTTTGAATATTTGCATCCTTAGTCCCTGAACTATCACTTTACTCCATTTTAGTCTTTTTTCGGCTCTTTTCTCCTGAATTCCACCATTTTCATAGAAATTCCTATATTGCATGAATTCAACGAGATTAAGTCACAATCCATACATTTTGCTTGTAATTAAGTCATGTTTGTGATCTAAATAAGTGTGCAAAAATACACTTATCATGAGACATTGCGTTTGAAGCTTAAGTTAAAGAGCATAAGAAAAAGTTCATAGCGTTCACTTGTTGGCTCTTTAATCAATAATTTATTGTCCTTCTTGCTAAGTCCTATAAAATGTGTGAATGAAAAGTAAATTTGACCAACTTATAACTTAAATTATACGTTAAACTTTGTGAATGTATCAAATATGCCATGTTACGAATAAATTTCTTATGCTTATAAGATGGTGCTTTCCTATTTCACCTTAATTAACAATGGCTGTGTTTATACGTCAAAAACCTAAAATCAGACGAAATTACAAACCTTGATAGGAGTTCATACAAAAGATTAAGGTCAACTATAGTAGTAACAACAACAAAAAAAATGACAACTAGAGCTCGACCCATACACGATTTTACTCATTGTATACCTTATAAATCTCATTTGATATATTTGCTTAGTAGATCATATAAATATGATGTACAATCTCCATTATTCTTGATTGGAAGTGATTTTTGAAAATCGCTTTTCCGTACATTCATTTCAATCACATTCTTCCAAAAAAAACAAACAAATAAATAAATAAATGTGTGCATCTTAAAATTTTTCTCTCTCTTATTTTCAACCACACAATCTTCTAAAAAATAATATTACACGTAAAAAAAAATTACTTCTTTTTCAACCATTTATTTTAAAAAAAATACTATTTCACCCATTTTTACATCAAAAAATGAGGGTCAAACGAGGGCATAATTTGGTCAAACAGTTGGGGGCGAAACGTTAACAAACGTGTTCCTGGATTTATAGTATTGACTAAGATTAGCAGGCTATCTGTCTAATACACGTAGAAGCAATATTTACTCTCATATCATGTGATTACATTCAAAGAAGTCCAAAATGAACATGCACTAATCTTCAGTCACAAATTAATCGGAATACTTAATATTGACTTACGGTTTAGAGTCATCGCCGCGTTGGATCTGTTCACATTGCAAGAAAATTCAGAAGCCACCGTAAGTTAGCTTCAAGAATGCTTGAGCCTTCGTTATATATATGCATAACATAGAGCTCCTCCTTCCGACCACCATTATTGATCTAACTTCAATAGAGCTCAGCTCCCATTTCATTACTAGCTCGGTGCAGGCTGACAGCTAAATATGCAGGTTAATTATTTCTATAGTTAATTAAGACGTGTTTTAGCTCCAATTTTGGTTTTAATGTTTGAATTTTGCAGAGAATTTCTATAAAGGTGCAATTTAAATGCGACAAATGCAGACCCACGGCCATGAAAATTGCTGCCGGGACTTCAGGTATATATTGAATCATTGTTGAAGAATCAATAGATTAAATTTCAGGGTTTAATAATATTTTCTCTTCTTTGCTAGTTTATATTCTTTATCTGGTATTCTCTTATGTTGTACCTCTGGTTCTTCGTCTAAATATATCAACGTGACGACAAACTAAGCTCAATATGTATTTAATTGCCGCAATTTTCTCCTTTATCTGAAATTGAGACCGGCTATACGAACACACACATATAGTATAGAATGTTCTAAATTTTGGTTGTGTTTTAGGTGTGGTTTCAGTGGCAATAGAAGGGGAGAAGAAAGACCAAGTGGTGGTGCTCGGAGAAGGAGTAGATGCAGCTGCCTTGACTAGCTTGTTGAGGAAGAAAGTGTTATGTATTTATGGTATAAATATAAAATGTGAAAGAAATAATCAAATTAGATAAAGTGCCAAAGTGGTGGGAAATGTGACATTTGTGTGGGACGTCAGGGGTTCGAATCACTCCCCACGTAAATATTAAAATGTCTTGATTGGGGCCTTGGGCTCTTGGGCTTCCTTGACTAAAATAAATATTTTTTTTTGTTATTTAATTGGTAAAACTAGCCAGTATTTTATGACTGTTTGTTTTTGTAACAACCCACTAACTGCCATTAAAACACCCACTACTCAGTCATTAAAATTCTACATTAACATGGTGAAGACTGTTACCGCCATCCTACCTATATAAACCCATATCTCGTTTTGGAAAAAGACACACACAAAGACAATAGAAAAATCATCTTGCATCAATCACTCTTTTCATATTGTGAATTTCTTATATTCGGGTTTTTATATCTATTCTGGAGTACAATTGAGAGTTCTAGAAAAACCATTCGTGATTGCTGCACAAGTGGTTTACGATCGTTGTATCCTGGAAGTGATTGTCCACGGAGGTCGCAGCAATTATTGACGGGCAATTTCACTTTAGGACATCGTGCCGTCACGAGACTCGATCGGACGATAAGTTTTATATTTCTGCTTATATTGTTCTGATCACTGTTGCAACTAATTATTTTTCTAACAGAAAGTCGGCCATGCCAGCCTAGAACTTGTGGATGATGTTTAATTAAACAAACTTGCATATCAAGTAATCGAGAATTTTTATGTATAGGGAAAATAATTGCTTTTATTTTATTATCATTCCATCTCCAAAAATCTGTCATTGATGTCAATAAACACTTTCACCATCAAAATGTTTCGATTGAAGTTTAGACGCCATGTATTTCCAAAATCAGTGAAAGTCATTGATGGATACGACTCCCATCTAGAATATTGACAGTGTCCAAAATGGAAAACTTGAGCGTACATTCAACATCACGGGTTCACTCTTGTTTACTACATAGAAATTCGACTTGACTTCGTAAATAGTTACTACTTGATACTGTAAATTTACTGCAACAAGGGACTACGGACCTGTTCGATTATGAGAATTGATTTTTTGATCGTTAAA